CACGGGAAGGTTTCACTGCAGGCAGAGCTCGCTCTGCAGACGCAGGAGAGCATTTCCTCCTCCTCAGGAGGGGACCTACACACTCCCCACCCGCCTCCGCCCTCCCATGGCCCCCACCAGCCCCAGCCCCTCACCTGTGATTTTTTTGAATTTCCGTCCACTGCTTGCAAATGTAGATCTGGACGTCCGTCCCGCCCAGAGCCAGGTAGGTACCGCTCTGGTCAAAAATGAGAGACTTCACCTGTGGAGGAGAAGGGGAATGAGGCTTCAAACCAGGCCCAGGAAGCTCCAAACGGCCTCTCGGGGTGCCAGGGGGGCAGCACCTCCACGTTGAGGATCCCCCAAAGCAGGGGAGCGCAGGTGTGGGATGGCGGATGCTGGGAGAGCCTGCCCAGCCACGCCGTCAGGGGGGAAAAGGGGACAATCACACACCTCAAAGTTATTGTCCAGCTGCAACGTCTTGAAGTTCTTGAGCTTACGCAAGTCCCAGAGCTTAACAGAGGAGTCGTCCGCTGCCGTGGCCAGGTAGTAGCCGTTCTCGGAGAAGGCGATGCTGGTGATGGGGCCCGAATGTCCCGGGAAGTTAGCCACGTTGGTGCGTTCCTGGGGATAAAGCAGTTAGAGACCGGCTGCCGGCAGGAAACAGCAGCACCCTCGCACCGGAATCTCAGATCCTTGCAACTGCAGCCGGGCGGGCAGCGTCAGTCTCTGTCATCAGTCCGCTTCAGAGTTAAAATGCAAGTGGGTGAACGAAGGCTGCGCGGCTTCCGTACACGCTTTGTTGCCCTGAACCATGGCTCAACAGGTCAACATGGGACTACAGAGCTAACCTGCCGACAGCCGGAGCTGCTCCTGTGCTGGAGCTACAGCCCATCGCTACCGTGGAGCTGCGCTGACAAATTCGCAGCTGCGGGACTGAGCGAGACCCACGGACATCCAGCACAGACCCATCCCGCAGCAGAGCTAGGCAGCCTGCCTGCGAACCTTCCTGTTCCTCACTGATTCTCTTGGGGACGCAGCAAACATCTCCTCGCCTCAAAAGAACCCCCGATCGCCAGCTACGGCATCAGAAGTGGCCGTTTTTCAGCTGAAGCTTTGTATTTTTGGAGAAAAACACAGAAGAAAGTCCCCAAAGCCCCACTCCAGCAGACACGGGCACCACGCCTCGGACTGAACGCTCTGCTGAGCGCCAAACCAAGCACCCCCCGTGACACGCTGCCTCCCTGTCCCCTCCCACACGCCCAGGGCCAGCTCTACCTTCAGATCCCAGATCTTGATCTGAGAGTCCATCGTCCCTGTTCCAAAAATGAGCCCGTCCGGGTGGAATTGGGCACAAGTGAGAGCTGCAGAGACAGAAGGGGAGATTCGGAGCGTTGAGGAGACTTTCTCACTTCGTTAGCAGGCCTCTCTTCAGAGTTCTTTTGAGCTCGAGGAGCTCAGGGACCCACAGGAAGAAAAATCCCTTCTCTCCAGGCTGGCAACAGCCTCCCCAGGGTAGGGACACTCAGCCGTAAGCCTTACCGCAGCCAGAGCTCTCATCCGTCACCTTGGTGAGGACGCGGCCTGTCTGGATATCCGAGAAAGCCCAGTACTGGAAGAGAGGAACAGCGTGTTGGGCACAGAGGGATGAGAAGCAGGGGGGGAAGGTCTGTGGCCCGGAGCTCACCTGGTCATCAGAAGAGCTGAGGAGGTAGTCGCCTGTGGCGTGAAGGCTCAGCCCCGTCACGGAGCCCTCATGGGCACGGACAACCTGGACGCACGAAGCGTTGGGCACAGACCAGATGCGGATAGTAGCATCGGGAGAAGCTGAGAAGACCAAGTCCTAGACAGGGATGAGGCAGGAAAGTTAAAACAGCAAAAGACTTTCACCTCTCCACCTGAGAGAGCTCCCTACAGGAGAGAACTGGCCCGCCACGAAGCAGAGACCCCACCAGAAGAGAGCACCAGAAGGCAGCCCAGAAAATCAGATCTGGGGCAACTTGGCTGTGAGGGAAGAGGCCGAACGCAGCCCCAAGCGCACCTGAGACGGGTGGAAAACGACACTGGTAACCTTCTTGGAGTGCCCCTTGAGCGTCGCCAGGATCTGCTCCGAGCTCTTATCGAAGACGATGACGTTTTTATCAGCCCCGCCTGGAAAACAAAGCAGGGAGCGGTGAGAGACAGGAGTCTGTGGCCAACCAAGTCCAAGTCCACCCACTTTTTCTAGGGACCACTGTCCGGAGAAGCTTTGCCATGAGGTGAGAATCCCTCGTGCCCCTCACCCCGCCTCTATCCCCTAAAGCAGAGAGAAAGGGACCTGCTCCCAGGCAGCTGCAGGCTCTGAGCTAACATCACACAGTCCCCAGCAAGCGGAGGAGGCTCCCTTACCGGTCAGGATCTTGTTGGTGTCGGAAGGACAGAGGTCCAAAGCAAGGATCCCTGGAATGCTGGCACTGTGCAGCCCCTGCACGAGGTAGGAGGATGCCAGATTAATGCCGCAAGCAAGAAAATGCCCCCAAAGGGAATTGAAAAGCCCTCGAAGGAGCCCAAGGTGTTTCATTCCAACAGCGGGAGCCCGTGCCGCATCTATTCCAGCACAGATCCCTGCTGGCAGCGGCACAGAGCGTCACGACCTGCTCCTTGCTCTGCCCAGCAGCAGATTTGTCGCTTATTGATGCTGCAAAGCGGCACAGGATTGCTCCGCGTGCCCGGCTAACATGGGGGAGTTTTCAAACCCCGGCCTGCATCACAGCACTCACCACGTGCGAGGCGACCTGCCGGTACTTGCTGAGTTCCTCCGGCTTCACCAGCTCCTCTGGAACAGTCTTGCCTCTCTGCAAATGGAAAACGGCGCGGAGATAAACATCGGCCTCTCTCAGGGCATAGCACATCACGGCTGCCGTTGTATCTTCAGAGCGAAACGGGGCCGCTTACCTTCTTACGCTCCGTGGTGAGCACCGTAGCCTTGTCTTGAAGCTGCAAAACAAG